AATAATGTATTCTTGTGTATCTTGGCACTTCTAGTTAGTGAATGTGTTTGTTTGACAACTACATGTAAATATATTCTTTTGTAAATGATGATAAAAATGATGATGATGATGATACAGTATGTTCAATAGTATTTTAAAAGCTCTAGTTTTATGTATATGTGTTAGGGGGAAATTTCATTCAATTAAAAGATGCACTATCACAATCTTATACAGTACAGTTTTACTGTGACAAGATTAAATTAAATTAATGAAAGAAAAAGGGTATTTGTTATGCATATCTGTAAGAAAATAAAGTCATAATGGCAATTTGTCTGCATCATATCTACGTTTAAAGGGTTCTTTAGAGTATTTTTATGCAATTTTTTAAAACACTTTTGCAATAACAACTGAAACCTCTATTAACTTATGATATAATTGCTATCTTTCATTAATTAATTGTAAATTAAGTTAGAATGGTGCTGTGGCATTTTGGTTTTCTTGTTCTGCTCTTTTTGTATTAACTTTGTTACGTTTCTTTCAGTTTTTCACAAAAAGATACTACAGCAGTATCTGACTTTGATGTAAATGTGCTGTACATGCCTACTTGAGTGAAGTAAACTTTAAAAAAAAAATTCCTTCCGTGTTTGTCGAGTTAAGACTGCAGATTTATAATCTACCCTCATGTATTGCATCAGTTGATATAAATTGTAAAACTATTGTTCTGTCAATAGGTGGCAGTGTTTATCAGCTGTTACTTTAAGCCATCAGCTGATTTTTTCTGAGAAATTATTCTTTTTTAGACTTCAGTATTGAAATGGTTGAAGGACATTTGTTTCTCTAAAGGCAGGAAAACACAAACTGAGAAACATACAACGATGAAATATTGATTTTCAGAAATGTATTTAACGTCATTTTTAAACATTCAAGCATTCAGATGTGTGGTTGAGATCAGGGTAGTGTACCTGTGAAGTGTTGCATAAATGCATTGTGAAGATCTGCATGAATCCAGACTGATGTTGAAAGGATGTCTTTCACAGCTTATCAGTGAAATAGACAGTTTCATCACTCCATGGAAATAAAGGACTGCATAGCTAACAGTGAATTCAGCGAGGAGCAGGTCAGTGACACGAGAAGCATAACCATCAGGCCATCTAAACCGCTCAGTGATGCAAATACATGAAAGGCAGGTTCGACCCACCGCTGGATGACAAGCTGGTGTAGATTTCTAAGGGCACTGCGTGGGCCATGTGAGAAAGTCATTCATGATTAGTTTAACCTCTGAGTCACACAGAAGTCTGTGATCTGCTACCATGTGACCCGTGGGTTCATGGCACAAGCGGAGAATGAACGCTATCATATTTCTACGGCTATAACAAAAAGCAGGGGAATATTAGAGGTTTGAATTATTTGTTGGCGCTGGTCTCTGCCTCTCCGAACGAGTTCAACTGAGATGCTGTGTCGATGGCAGCAGGAACACGGACTCTCGCATCCTACCTCATAATCTTCTAGTGGAGTTGCTTTGGGGTTTTTTCACATTAACAGTCTTTGTTTGTATTGATTGTTACAGCAGTTTGTCAACCTATTATATTGTACAACTGGCCGAGGCATGCCCTTTATTGTAAGAAGAAGTCGTTCTCTGTGTCACTTCATATAGCGAGATTACGCTGGAGTGTGATAGTGCCTGCATAGACACTGGCCCAATTACACTTTCCCCTTGGATTGTTTATGTCCTTTTGGCCTTGTTGCAGTAAGAGAGAGTGAGAAAAAAAGAAGAATGGGCTACCCTCCAGAACTGCTTTTTATACCAGGTTGATTAGCATGCTGGGTTGTTTAAATTGCCTCCTGGAGGGCTGACGTGAAATCGAACAATATCCTCTGGCTTTAGAGACTAGCCCCAGAGCTTCTCATTTATTTTTATGCAGAGTTAGGACAGAGCCTTGGCACTGCTCCACTGAGGAGGCTGAGCCCAGGGAGGCCAGGCCTGGGTAGATCAGGACAAATCAATTAATATCAGCTCAGTAAAAGTTCTTGGCTCTCTCTCTGGGCCATACTTTACTGTGACACTGCAACCTGGGCGCCACTGTAATGATGTGGCTAAATTGTTAAGTGAAGCTGAGACATAATAATGAAATAATATCCTGTTCTTGCCTATCTCTATAAAAGGCCTCTGTTAAGGCTTGATTTGTCTTCAGACCCTCCGCTGTTCCAGCATTAATACCAAAGCCAAAGCATTGTTTTTCACTGTTATTATTATACTTCATCATACAGGCTTTTCCTCTTGGGTGAGGATGTTTATGACTATACTTGGCAGAATTCAGCCTCTATGCTTTACTAACATTTGGTCATCATGTAAAATTCAAGCGTGCCCAAGGCAAAAGGATTATTATACCCACGGCAGTAAGCACACAGTGGAAACACTCATTAATATCCTACTTACATACCTATAAGGGCTACAAATGGGAGAGATAAAATAAGTGCAAGGTAGAAGAATGAAACTTGTTTGGTTGTCCTCCCTGAACCAAAAATGATCTCAGTAGTAAGGAATAATTCCCATAGCTTTATCTTGGTGTCTCTTAATGAATGAGGCCTTGCTGTGTGATTGGGTGTGTGTGTGGGGGGGGGATTGGACATACAAATCATAGAGATTTGTAAAGGTTTAACGTTGTCATTATGCCGCTAATAAAGAATTTATTTTAATAGTGCTATCTACTGTTTGCTTTTCTCTGAACAGCACAAACAGATTATTGATGTATTACTGTTGACTTTAATAATCAAAATAAATTGCTGTTAGACCTGCAGGGTCAGTGAAGGTGTGCATGGTAGCAGCGTCACGGTGGATTCCTTCACACATCTGTTACACTTAAAAATAAGAAAAAAGATTCTTAGAGCAAGTCCTTATGGTCTGGCTAGACTTTGAAGCATTTTTGTACATGCACACTTTCACTGTCATAGATCTTCCCAATTATTTGCCTTCTGATGCATCCATCCATCTGTTTTCTTCTTTGCTTATCCAGTTCAGGGATGTGGGAAGCTGGAACCGAGTTCCAAATCTATAGTGAAATCAGATAGTATTTTCTTCAATGCTTTTTATATGGTTCCTTTGGATAATTTGCTTTAGAAACATGTCTCATTTATATGGTATGAAGAGTATGTCTTTTGTCAACCATTTCAAAGCATTAATTTAAATAGCAGTTTTGGTTTGGGTGAAGAAATCACAAACTGCATGTGACAGTTTGACTGAACCATCGTGACTTTTCATCTGTTACACAGGTACCCAAAAATTAGACCTAAATGAAGATCAAAATATTAGCACACACACAAAAACTGGAGCACAGACTTCCTGGATGGTCTGTTTGTGTAGTTATCACACAGCAGGTCTTATTACTTGCAAGAAAATTACAACGACACAAACAAGGTCAAAGGGTGAGTTGTGGCAGACAGCTGGAAGCAAAGTTAGCACCTACCTGTCACATAAAGCAGGAAAACATAAAATAATGCATAACTTCAAGCCTTATTAAAATATAAAACTATAGCTACAAAGGACAGTAGCTTTTGGCTAGGTCAGTATTTTAGCATCAGCGTTTATGAGGACTGGCTTGTTCTGAAGTCACCATCAAGTGGTAGATTAAAGAAATCAGCACACACTGATTTGATTTAGTATAAACTTTCAGCTGCACTTCTATACTATTGTTTAAAAGTTCCTTAAAAAACATATTACCACCAGCCTAAGCTTCGCGTTTGGTCCTGATCACCAGATGAATATTTATAGTGGTGAAGATGGGAAACATGAGGCGTTCAAAACAAAGGCGTGTTAGCATTGTCGTTGTGAGCATGTAAGCATTTCAAAGTGACAAATGCGCTGCAAAGCATTAACAGCCCTTGAAAGAGAAAAATAAAATTGATGACTATCACATTTGCACTTTGATTTACATGCTGTACTCCAACCTCCCGCATCAGATTTCACACAGTTTCAAACAATCACCACTGTTTGTCAAACATAAGGTCCATCCAAGCTTACTTTGCAAAGCAAAAACCATTTTTCAAACTCTCCAGCAGCCATTGCTAATTAACTGAGGACGGA